TTGGACGTGTTTTGGGACTGAAACATAATGTCTTAAAAATGAAAAAGGTATTCTGTAACACACCGTGGCTAGATGCAGACTGCCGACCAGCAGCGTGAGACACTTTTATTTTCAGGCCATGGAGATGAGGATTCGAATTTTGGAAGCCCAAACGTGCAGGTTGGGCAGTTTAGAACACTTTATGTGACCTCATGTTGTTCACCTTCTGTGATAGTGAGGTTTCGTCATTGTTATCTGGTGATTGTGCTCTCTTGAGATTGGGTATTGTTTGGCAATTTTCTTATCATGTTAGCGAGAAACCATGTTACAGAATGCCATGTTGTAGGAAGGCTACCTGTATATGTATATTCGTTCTAAGCACATTAGATAGCATAATTTGTGTGAAGTAGTACCGAACCTTGTAGAACAGTGGTTCTCAACCTGTGATATATTCATACCCATGGTGGTATGTGGTGGCATAGTTGGGTATACGTGGAAAAATTATCAATAATTGTAGAAAATAATAATGTGCTGATAAAATAAAGCAATATAATAAGTTGTAGCTAAACCTGCCCACACTTGTTGAATAATTAAATCAGTTATATAGCTCTATTTCTTAAAATTGTGGTATGCAGAGTGTGAGTATGGAGCTTTGTTTTAAATTCATGTTGTTTCAAGTTGTGAATTGTAAAGTGTTGTTTATAAGAAAATGGATAAACGATTAGGAAGTAGATCTTTGCAGAGGATGGAAATTACTTGGCTCAGATGGTTTCAATTTGACATCTGAACCAAGCAAATTTTGGAATTTCACCCATTTAAATGAACTTTAAAATTCACAATGGTGAATGGCTTTAAGGACTTGCATAACTATCTGATATTTTTTCAAAATTAAATAAATTGAGCTTAAGATTATCAAACAGTTCTTAACTGCTTACAAAGCGTCTGACATAATTGATTCTATGCTCAGTACTCTCAGAAAAATTAATTTGAAAAAAATGAGACCGAAATATTCGAGACACTTTGCAAATTCTTGTCAGAAAAATTACCTTCAGTTTGTAGAAGTCAAAGAGAGAATAAGAATCCACTTAAAAGGGCTGCAGGGGATGTTCAAGCATTATTTGCCCAAACAAAGTGAAACGAACAATTAGATTTCAGATCTTATCAATGAAAATTCCAGTAAAACAGCCTCAAAATAAATATTCCCTGAAAAAGAAACACTTATACTACTTTTACTTTATTCATTACAGTTTATTGGTTTTGTGGTATTAAAATAAAAGCATTGTAAGATATATTGCAAGAATACTGATTGAGTGTCAGGGGGTTGTAGATTCTTAAGGAGGAGGTTAGGGGTACTTTATAAATACAATCTGTCTTATTAAGGGGTGTGTGAAAGAAAAAAAGTTTGGGCCTGCTGTTGTAGAGTTATGCATTTGTATCAGGTTCTAGGAGGTATGAGATGTGCTATGGAATTATGTCATAACTACTGACTGTTTCAGAAATCATCAGTATTTGTGGAATTGTTTATATATAAACAGTATGTATGGAGTGGCATTAAAAAAAAAAAAAAAAAAAAAAAAAATTCAACCTTTTTTGGAATTGTTAGGTGGAATATTCTAATACTATTCTATTTCTGTTCTTCCTTCAGGGAATCTTAGGTAGACTAGTTCTATTTCAAGAATTCTAGTTTCCTCTTGAGTGGAATTTAAAAAAGTTCATAAAGTCAACAATGATGATTATGCATAACTGAAACCTCTCAAGACAAAGTTCAGTTTCTCAAGTTATTTGAGGGAGCTATAGAATAGTCCCTTCTTCCTGTATCATAGATCTTACTAGAGAAATTCTATTCCTTATACCTCACTATCTTTTTCATACCGACAAGACATTTCGAAACAGGATATGCTAATAAATATGACATTTACTCATAATTCACTGTGTAGAAGTTAAACAAGGACAGTGCATGGTACTGAGTTGTCAGCAGTGATACCTGTGTATATGAATAAAATTTAAAAAACACAAAATGCAATCTTGTATATGGATTTATTGCAGCTTGATTGACTGAATATTAAAATAGAAGCTTTGATCTAAAGATAAAGTATATCTTTATCTTTTGAAATATCTGTTATTCAAAATGTGAAAAATACTATTCTCATAATATTACAGTACTAGTTTCTTGACACTGAAAATGACCAAACATCTGTTTGAATAATGCTGTAATCAATAATAGTTGTCTGCTGATGTTTCCATATTTTACATTAGCAATCGTGCATATTTTTCACAGAGGGCATTCTTATGGTAATCTATTTAATTGATTTTTTTCTTTTGAGAATCACTTTAAGCTAATTATGTTGATTTTTTAAAGAAGAGTAAGTAGAGCTGTTGTGTATTATACAAACGATTTGCAAAGAGTTATGTTTCTTAAAAAGGTTTATTTTTAACTAAATTATAGTTGAAAATGCTCTTTTATGTGCTCTTCTAACTTACTTCTGCAGAAAATAATCTAATTAATTTTCAATCCTATATTTTTTACATTCAGTTTGATTTATCAAAGCTTTTTTTGTCTGTACTCATAAATATTTAAACTACAGTTTCATTAATCTTAAACTGTGTTAGTTTAACTATGCACTATTTAGTTCAGAAAGGGGAAATTAATACACATTTGAAACATTTAATGTCAGAACTTAATGCAGGTACTTATTTGAAATATGGTGTATTCTACAGGGTGTTTATAAAGTCCCAGATCCATTTTGATGTTTAATAACTCATAAAATAATGAAGATATAAACAAAGTTATAGCATTTATTGATGGAATAGCTTATATATTTTTCTTTTCAGGTTTGAATATCTTTACTTTTGTAAATATCGTCTGCACGTGTGGTTAATTTCAGATAATTTCATTTTCCAGTCTAAATATCTGTACTTTTCTAAATATCATCTGCTTATTAATTGCATTTTTCTCTCTTTTGTTTTTGGCAACTATTGCAATGTTATGGTGTTGGTGTATTTAATTATGGCAAAGCACACTAGGGCTATCTGCCTAAGGGGAGGGATGCCTTCGTGGAGGACTTTCTAAGGGAAACTGGCTTGTATACACGTTACACATGGGGAAAACCACGAAAACACCCATGCAGCCAGCCTATTCGCAGGATTCGAACCTCGGACCGAACTACCAGTGTTTAGTGACTTTACCGCTCAGCCACTGGTGAGCACAATGTTGTGGATTTTTTCCTTTGGGGATTTGTAAAGGACAACGTTTACAGGAGGAGAGTGTCGAACATTGATGACCTAAAAGCCAGAATTACAACTGCAATAGCCTCTGTGGATGCTGACATGTTTGCCGGTACCTGGCGTGAAATTGAATATCGACTTGATATTCTCTGTGTGGCGAAGGGGGCACACGTGGAAGGTCATCGACAAGGGTCATGAAACTTTTTTAGTCTATCTAACATTTATGTTATTAATTTTAATCTATATTTATTATTTTATGAGTTATTAAACATCAAAATGGGTCCAGGACTTTATAAACACCCTGTATTATATGACAATATATTATTGTATGACCCTGTATTAAATTGTATGACCCTGTATTATTGTATGACCCTGTATTATATGACCCTGTATTAAATGACAAAGACCTGTAAATTGACCTGTAAATTGTATGACCCTGTATTATTGTATGACCCTGTATTATATGACCCTGTATTAAATGACAAAGTCTACCATATGTTTACACAAATTAATTCAACAAATAACTGGTTCGGTAATTCAGCATTCCTTCTTATCTTCTTAAGGTAATAAGTTACATGTTTTTATAAGAAATATTGAATATGATATAACAGTGGAACTTTCTAAATATTCAGATATGCATTTCGTATTTTTAATATTTAATTTTGCACATCAAATTTTGAATCGGGATAATTTTTATAACAGTTAACTAGGCTCATGTAAGCAATGTTAACCTTTTAACTGTCATGCCCGAGCTAATCTCGGGCACAGCACTGGTGTTCGAAAATGTCACGCCCGAGTATCACTCGGGGTAATTTTTTTTGAGTGTATCATATTGTTATACCCGAATATATATCGGGAGACGTTTATTTCGGCTTCATCTCTTTGTCAAACCCGACTGTATTTCGGGAAAAGTTAATGTGCACTCAGTTCAATAGATGACAGCACTTTACTGAAGATTTCAAAGGTTAGAGGATGTTGATTGGATTTTTGCAATAAAAAAAATTGACAATTTGTGTACCCAAATCATCAAAATAACTTGACAGTTAAAGGGTTAAATAGTTTTAGACATTCAAAACAATAAAAAATTGTATGAACAAATAAATGAAATAATTTTAAAATTCTGAAGTTGCACCTGCTTTCTTTTATATCTGTGTTATACTAAAAATAGAAAATCTGTAACTGCCTGAAATTAAACTGTGCTTTCTTTAGATCCATTTCATTGGTGCTACAAAAATCAGTATAGAAAATCAGAAACTGTTCTTAATTTTTTATCAATGAACTCTGCCAAGTATATGAGTTATGTATTATAAATCTGTCAAAAGGTATAGCAAAACAGCCTGACATTCCATTACTTGCACATATATCAGCTATCACAGGAGATTCTATGTAGACCCACAGTCTGTAAAGTTTGAATCTAATTAGTGTATTTATGCCATTGTAGTATATTTTTCACTAGGAAAGTAACAAGCACTCATGTAAGTTAAAATTTTGTAACTTAAGGCATTTCACCAAATACAATGGGTGAAAATACAATAAAAATATGAGCTCTCTAAAAAATATTTTTAAAAGCTCTCAGATATAGTGATAATAAAAGAAGTTTTTGTTAGAATTTTTTTTAATTGAAGCTCTTAAATCAGATTTTTTATTAATATTTTAGGAATTCCAATATTAGGAATCTTCCCCCTTTTTTAAATGTGTGTTAAGCATTACATCATCGAAATTGCCATCCATATAGGCATTAAATTTCTTTGCTGTAGATGTTTTAATGTTATATATAATATATGTTTTCTTTCTAGAATGATCCAGACAGCTTTTGTAGATATGGAAAATATGTTTACTTTATTAAATACTGAGCCTGAGGTAAGCATTTTATTATTATCAGTTGGAAACTCTTTATGAATATTGTTTTATCTGTGTATTAAAATGGTTCATTGAAACACAATAAAGAAAGGAAAATACTGTAAGATTTCGAAGATACTTCAGAACTACAGAAAAAACAAATGTTCCTGATGTCTCATAGGGAGAAAAGATCACATGCAAAAGTGTGATGTGTAACATTTCCTTTTGTTGGATGATACATATCTTCGATCATTGTGCTGCTTGAAAATTACCAGTATTTTTATATGCAGTCATTCACTTTTTATTAGTTGAAGATGACAAACTGGAACTTTTTAGAAAGATAGTCATTGTATAACAGGAAAATTGCATTCCATGTAAACTGTTCACGAATAGAATGTATATTTTCTTAAAAACCACTGAAGTCTGTTACACAATACATGACCTGGACAATTAAGCACATTTGTCACATCTGAACTCATAATAAATAGATAAATGCCTGAAAGTGGATCATAAGTTCTAAGCAGCACATACATTAAATATACCTAACATCTGATTGGAGGCAAACCAGTGCTGTGCAGCATACTATTGTGCACGATCATTTATCACTGCTGAGTATTGATAGTTTGACCCTGTATTGATGCCTAGTTTGGCTTCACATGGGTGTTTTTATGGTTTTGCCCCACATGTAGTATGCATACACGCCGGTTTTCATGAAAGTCATCGCTCCTTTTAGGCAGATAATTGCCATAATCCAAATAACCTGTTTCTCGCTGAACAATCTTATGACCATGTTTTTCACTCATAAATACAGTAAAATGTATGCTGCAATTGAAAATAGTTCACTGTTCCATAATCTCATGAGGAAGCTTTTTATTGTTACTTTTACCTTTGAGAAAAAACTCCAAGTGTATGCATATATGCACTTGGTTTAGGTGTTTTAAAAATACCTGTTAAAAGTCTAAATGCAGGTAGACAGAATCTAGAATAAGTAGACTTTTTTTAAATGAAAAGTATGTACAGAAATGGTGCAGTTGAGAAATGACACTGTTGAGATCAATGAGGGAAGCTTTCCACTGATGTAAATCATAATTTCCTTAGCTGATTTCGAGCAGTATTCATCATTACTGGCACATGGATCTTGTCAACATGCATTTTGTTGATATCATTATAAAAAAAATGAAGTAGCTGCTTAAAGATGTACAGACAATGATACCCAAGTATCCAGCAGTTAAACTGCCGAACATTTGAGCATATTTAAGAGGACACTCATGAGATTGGATTATTCCATGCTTTCAGGCATGATGTGCTCAGGAGAAGATATTGGAAGATCATTAAGATTGGATTGGATAGTATAGACATGTTCTTTGGCTATCAAAATCACTAGATTTAATAGTTATGGATTTATTCTTTTTGGAGCATATTAAGAGTATGAATTTGATGAACACCTAATGGTATTTTCAGTTCCTATGTGTAAAATGCCTGAGATCTTTGCTAATGTCTCCCAATTCAAAACTTGTATTACAATTTATACCTTTACACTCAAAACTTGTGTTACAACTGACAGTCATATTTTCAAATGCTTTTAAAAATTTGAATCATTAAAGTATTTGTTTCTTTTGACTCTATCTGTGTTTCTTAGTCGTCTAATTCTTACCATCCTTATATGTCCTGACACATGTTATTTTTGCACACATATTCTATGACAATTACTTTGTACACATTTGCCCATTATTAGAATCACTGAGTTTGTTAAAATTTTTGTTTCAGTGAAATGCTAAGAATGGAAAACCCAAAAGTTCATTTTCATCATCTTATGCTCTTTTATTTAAAGGAAAAAAGAAAAAAAAAAAAAGAAAAGAAAGAAAGAATATTAGCCAGACTTCTTGTAAAATTTGTGTTATATACAGACAAAGTCCTATTTCTGATAAATTAGTTCGAACATGGTTTGAGAAGTCTGAATATGAAAAATGATGTTTTATTCTGAACCGATGATGATTCTGAAAGCAGTTGACAACTCACAATGTTATTTTTTTCCCCTTATTTTTGAGATTTTCATTTGAAATATTAAGCCAAAATTTAAATGTAGGAAATGTATGAAATTTTTTTTATTCAAGTTGTGTTTCCCGTAACTGCAATTTAACTGCAGAAGGTTTAATACAAGCATGCATGTCAATGATATTTTATTCTTTAATTGCAGATCTGTAATTGAGAATGTTTAAATGTCTGGTTGCATCAACAATAAATGCTAAGTCTATTATTTATTGTTCATGGACTTGGTAAAATGAATCTCCAAGGTAAAGTTCTGAAGAGTTTATATAAAAGAGCTATTGAGAGAAAGATTTTGTATATGGCACATGGTGGACTGCAACGGTCCGAATGTGTAACAAAATTTTGCAAATTCAAAGAATCGCTTTATTGAGGATTACTAAAGTGTTTTAGAACTGTTTCCACAGTAGCTCTTCAGATTTTGGCTGGATGTCCTCCGATCGATATTTTAGCGGAAAAAGAATATGCTATCTTTAAATAAAAAGCTGGTAATAAAACTGTCGATTGTTTCAGTGAGATCTTCTCAGCTAGACATTTTGATTTGAGAAAGGTTTAGACATTCACCCAGCTTTGTTGAAACGGTTGAATTGGCATAAAGGCCTGCCCAAATATGACAGGCTACACGATTTTTACAGATGGATCTAAATTAAATGGTCATGTGGGGGCAGCATTTTGTGTGTTCTCATATGAGAAACTAAGCTTACAAAGGAAATATAGACTTTCTGAAAATGCCTCTGTCTATCAGGCAGAGTTAGTAGCCCTGCGAGAGGCCTTGTTTTGGCTTATTTCTAATTCTGCTATAGATCCTGTAGAAATCTATAGTGACTGCAAAAGCGCAATTGTTTCAATTATGGATGTTTGTCCAAGTAACGATCTAATTAGACCGATAAAAGACATGCTAATTTTTCTTAGCGCTTTCAGAGATATTAAACTCTTTTGGACGAAGAGTCATATTGGTGCCATTGATAACAAGTTAGCAGATATTGGCAAGGCCACTGAAATCAAATTATGATTTTGAAGTAAAGACTTCCTTTGACAGTTTGAAATCTTTGTTGAAAAGAAAAAGTTTGACTCTATGGCAAGCAAAGTAGAACGACCCAGATTCTAAAGGAAGATTCACTTATAATTTAATCTCAACTGTAAATGAGAGAAGATGCCTAAGTGACAAGTATCTAAACCTAGCTCTAACTAATCATGGACACTTTCCCTTTTATTATAATAGGTTTTCAATTAAAAATTGTGTTTGTCCATGTGGCATGAGTAATGTCAATACTGAGCACTTGTTTAAAAACTCTTGTATGAAAAATATTGTTCTAAGATTTATTCCAGATATTGCTAAATTTAATACTTTAAAGGATCTAAGTAAATACAGTGACTAAATTGAAATTATCAAATTTCATAAAATATGTATCTGTAAATGAAATGAATTTATATATTGATTATGTTTAAAATTTCCCTGTCTGTTTAAAGAAAACTAGAATGTTTATGATATTCTGTTATTTTATTTCTTTGTATATGTAAGTAACATGTTTATATTAAGTATGTAATGTGCTTTTGTTGGTGTAGCTGGTAAATCTCACCAGCTCCTAGACTATTTCATATTTTAGTTGTTTATTCTATTTTAAGTTATTTCAGGTAGTAAGGTGGTAGTTCTATCGCTTAATGGGCCTGATTTAAGCCTTGTTTTAGATCTGAATGTTTCTTTAATTAAATAGCTCTACTAAGCCTCTAATGGCAGTACAGGAAGTTCAACCAGTCATCCATTGTTCATTAAATACTGCATCGATGATTTTATTTATTTATTAATTTATTTGTGTTATGAAAATTGGGATTTAATTTATTAAATCAATAAACTGTTTTCATATATCATCTTGTTATCCTAAATAGTTTCTCTCTAATTACTTTCAGTTTCTGCAAGCCATGCAACAATCTCGGTGTTTCAGAGCTCATCCACAAATAAAATTTACTTTCTTAGTTATTGTTTTCATGATCTTACCATCTGCAATTTTTTGGCACCTTATATACTACAAATACATGTTTGCAGACTGCATAATATTGCTTTGGGGACCACATGAGGTCCTAGTTTGAAACCACTAATGTAGTACATCAGTTGATGACTAGATTGTTATGCAAGTAATAGATAATAATAAAATAATGAAATTCATGTTTATTTTCATGTTAATAAAAACTTATTCCAGCTTTGAGGTCTTTAAAAGTTATCTATTTTAGTCTTTCATCTATGATAACAATACCAATACCTTGTTTCATTTATTTAAAATCCATATCCCTAATATTACTTATTCTTAATTTTTTTAATGTGCTTTAGATAATTGATATTCCTAATGCTTTTCATCTGAAAGTTGGCGATGGATGTATAGAATTCAAGAATGTGCATTTTTCGTATGTACCTGAGTAAGCATCATTTTCTACTCAAGGAAACTTAGTTTTTCATTTTTTTATATAAGTATTTTAAAAGAAAAAAAATAATAGCGTTTTTTCTTTAGGAGGCAAATTTTGAAAAATATATCTTTTGTTGTGCCACCAGGACATACAGTAGCCTTGGTAAGATTATGAAGTCCATATTTTACTTTATGGCAATAATTAAAATTTCAGAATCCAGAATTTTCTATTTCTCTTCTTCATTTCACATTAGTAGTTAGTTCTATAATAATAAATTATTACCAGCCAAATTTGAGCAGAAATATGTTTTGGCTAGAGTTTTTGCAGTTAGAGTTAACTAACAATAGGTATTTACTGTAAATTTCAGCAAAAACATTCATGACAGTTGCTGTGTATTACTACTTTGGAGTGTTTTTTTTATATTTTCATTATGCATCATATTTATGTTTTAATGTAAGCTGGAATATTAAGCATATTATTGTAATTAAATGTATATTTTCAACTCTGAAGAAGAATTTTTTTAATTAGGTATATGATATTTGCTTGCAATAGGACTCGAGTTTGATGAGTCACAATTGCTCGCACTACACTTGTAGACAATATTGTGACTGTCCTTGAGCGTCAGTATGCCCATTGCGATTATTCAGTAAGCAACTTGTGCCAAAACTTTGAGTTTGCAAGTGATTTTGTGTTTTTTGCATAATTTTTTGGTAAATTCATTAACAGTGAATTTTAGGAAAGTTAATGAGAAGACTCAAGCAATGAGTAAAACTATTAGAATCACCATCTAGGTGAAAAATGTAGATAGTTGCAAAATATGAAGATGGCATGCATATCCAGGACTTATTTGGCATGTATATCCAGGACCATGCATATTCATGGCTATTACATATACTATATGCCGAGTATGATGGTATCTATGATTGTGAAAAACAAAGATGCTATTAATTAAATAATAAATTTGAGAAGGAGGTACATCTTTCACAAAAAAAGGAGGAGAAAGTTCTCTCTCTTATCCATTCTACTGGACTGATTGTTGAAATTTAACTTGCGTTGTCCATGTTTTAAAAGCCCAACTTTGGATATATATTAGATTTATATATAGCAGTTGTTCTAACATAGGTATTTTGACACAAAATCGGACTTTTACTGAAATAACATACCATTTTTTTCCATATTTCCATTTTATGACTCAAATTATGTCAAAGTGCCAAGTTTTGTAAAAATCGCACGAGTAGTTTTTAAAAAATTAGCTCTCAAAATTTTAGCTCCTCCATGTTAATTGAATTTGAAATATATTATTAATATCTGTTTTTTTTTAAACTTATTTGATTCTTCTTTACATTTTGAAATTAGGTTCATCCAGTAAAATTCACTGTTTTTATGACTTATTTTTAATTTGTATTTTTTAATAATTTTTATAAATTTGCAAAAAAATGGAACTATAACTTTAAATATACCATCATTTAGATGTATTCTAACATACCTTCAAAACTTAGAGTTTTTATTTAAATTTCCTGATGTACTGATTTACATTTGGTTATTTGAATTTTGCCAGATTGTTATAAGCATATAGCCAAATGGTTTATGCACTTTGTTAAAATTATTTGAAAGTATGAACAATGACTTTTTCCCACTCATATACAATGAAAAAAAGGAAAGGAAAATAGGTTGCTATAAATTAAGAAGTTTGCCAAGCAAATTATTCTTGCTGCAACCTGAAAAAAATGTGCTAAGATAAATTTTTTAATTTCTCTCCAGAAATTACAAAATTTAATATCTAGGCATAATTAGAGTCATAGAATTGAAATGTGCAAAAAAATTGAAATGTTATTTCAGAAAAATTCTGATTTTGTGTCGAAATACCTATGTTAGAACGATGCTATATACACCAAAGAGCCATTACATTATCACATTCTTGTTAATAACATGTAGGACCACCTTTAGCCCTCATAACTCACCCAGGATGGCATTGACTTCACAAGGTACTGACTGATACATAGTCGGAGGTATCTGGTACCAAGTGCTCACCAACTGGTCCTACAATTCCTGCACATTGCGAGGGGGTAGTGTGGCAGCACAAATTTGGTTTTCTAGGTGGGATCACAAATGCTTTGATTAATGTCAGGTGAATTTGGAGGCCAAGACATGACTTGAAAGTCACTAGAATGTTTCTCAAACTATTCCCTGACAATTTGACCCTTTTGACAAAGTGCATTATCCTGTTGGTAAACATCATCCCCTGCCGGAAATATTGTTGTCATGAATAGGTGAACCTGATTTGCAACGATATTAATGCAGCACACAGACATCAAGGATTGTTCTATGGGGATTGTGGGCCCTTATGTGCTCCATGAAAGCATTGCCCACACCATAATACCGCCAAAACTGGCTTGTCTCTGTCCAACTGTGCATCTCGGAGCCAGGGTTTCATTAGAAATCAGCATATTAACACACACCCATTGATGTGATGGACAAGAAAATGTGATTCATCGGACCACACAACTTTCTTCCATTCTTCTAATGTCCAATTCTGATGTTTCTTAGCCCATTGCAGATGCAATTGGCAATGACGAGCCGCCAGTGCAGGGACGTGCTTTGGACTTCAGCTGCATAGGCCCAAATGCAGCAATGCACGCTGCACAGTGTGTTGAGAAACACTGTCTGAGTTACCACTGTTGCAGCTGGTGGTGATTTTCGAGCTGTTGTACCTGTTCGGTCAAGACGAACGATGCATAGCAATCTCTGCTCTTCCCTGAAATAAGTGTGCCACAGATGACACACTGCTAGCCGGTGACTTGTCATTTCACCATCCATACAACACTTTCGATATGTGCTCACAACAATTACACATGAACAGCCCACTAAATGTGCCATTTCTGATATTGATGTTCTCAGCCAAGCCATAATGATTTGATCTTTATTGAAGTCTGATAAATCAGCTGCTTTTTCCATTATGCTGCTAATCGCACTATATTTAGAAAGACAACGCATAGCGGCTTTATATACTCCAACATCAGCTGTGCACGCGCAGTGGTTTTGCTCCTGGGCGAGCCCATTGTTATGTATGGCAGGTGGTCATAATGTAATGGCTCTTCGATGTATAAATCTAATATATATCCTAAGTCATGCTTTCAAGACATTGAAAACGCAAGTTAAATTTAGACAATCAGTTCAGTAGAATGGGAGATACAGAACTGTCCCTTTTTGGAGGGGGAGAGGGGTACAAGGTCAATTACCAAGCAGTACAATGAATTACTAAGCAAAGATCAGAAACATTGTTGAAAAATTGGTTTTGATCTGGGTAGCTGAAATATTTTTATGTGATGTATCATGTAGTGATTCATTTATATACAGTATCATGTCTAGTATATATTTCACCCACTGCATCTGTATTTTAATATTAAGCAGTGTAAGAGTAATAACAAAAGTTTTAAATAAGCATGGATTAATTATTTTTGGTTTATTTCTTATTGGAAATGTTCATTTGATAGATGTCCAAAGATTTGGAACGGATTAATGATGTATACCAAGGTACCACTATAGTTTAATTCTAGTTAGCTTTGTTTATTGTCCTTACTTAGTAAAATGAAGTTTTATTAAATGCTTCTAAAAATGTCCTAGCCTATCTTGGATGGTATTTAAAAACTGAATTTCTTTTAGTTCTGAGAATAAGATTGAAAGTTATGTTAAGATGAAGTTAAATAAAGAAATAAAATTTTGGTCTATGGTGAATAGGAAGGGGTTAATATTTGATATTTATAGAGGATATTGCATAAGTGAGTAATTCATTTTAAGAAAAGTATACCGTATTTAGAAGAATTCATTTAATTATATAAATATGCGTGCATAGAACTGTTCAAAATGGAATTTTAAACATCACAGAATGATTAATAGCTTAACTACTAAAAAAATGTTGAAATCGCAATCACAATAGTTTAATGTATTACATAATAAAACTGTATTAACATTATTTAAATATATTTATTGGTATCTGTTTTAATCTTTAGGATTATGCAATTCCCCCCCCCCAGATAAACACTTCTCTTTATGGAAACATTTCTTCCAAAATTGTTAGATTTGCATGAAATTTATACAAATATATACATTTTATAAATAGCAATAAATTGCTATAGATAAATTTTATAACCATTTTATAAATAGCAATAAATCCCTGTTGATTATATATACATTTTCTAAAAATGGAAAAGTTTTATCTGTACTATACATAATAATATTTTCCCCCATACAAGTTGATTATTGCTCATCCAAATTTACACATGCATATGTTACCATGAAAGACTGAAATCTGGAGAATGTCAGCATTCACATATTCACTTAGTGTGCATCCAAAGTATTTGCTAGATATTTTTAGTTCTCAATTACAACCCCAAATGTTGACATTCACTATGCTGTGATGGTGAATGTTGAATAAAAAAATTTTTGTTGTGTTTTTAAATCATACTTTAATATTAAAACATATGGTACATGTCAAAATAGGAGTAAGCTTAAGTAAAAGCACGTGTAAATAAACTGAACTTAAAACCTTCTAAATGAGAAAAGAAAATAATACCAGTGATAAACTTACTTAATTATGTGATTGACATTATACAATCTTATTATTTGCAACAACTTCAATGCTATGACACTTTGAATTGCACAAGAGTCCCTGCTTTTACAGTGCCTCTCTGTTTGTCTTCTCAGCTTTCGTTTCAACTTCCACCAGAGGATGTTTGTACTTGTCAACATACATCATTTATGGTCCAAATACATAAGAATATAACCAAATATTCAGTCTTTCACCGTTTCACCGATGTGGTTGGTAAATGTTGACATTCACCAGAGATTGTCAGCATTCTCCAGTTGCAGACTTTCCAGTTAACACATAAACATTAAAATTTTCTAATATCTCCTAAGCATTTGTTGATATATATTAATTTGCATTTTACTGACAAAATGACTTATGCAAATAAAATGAACATTAAAGCATATCGGCAAGTGTATGAAAGTTTATGCAAATTTTTATTTTCTATACTAACTTGTACTAGAAACGAGTAACTTTTAGTAGAAAAATAGTATTCTGAATTACATTACTTTATATGAAATCTGGTATTATTAAGGCCTCTCAAAATGCCATTAATAATAGTCTTTCACACATACATTTTTATGCTATATATCTCATTTTATAGTATACTTTTTAATATGATATATTGCAGCATTTCATATCCACATATTTGGCATAATTTAAGGATTTATTTGTCAAAGAAAGAGTTTTTTGTGCATAATGATTCATACTGAATACAGATCTTAGTGGCTACTGTTTTGTAGTGGAATTTTAATTTTAATTTTCGTTATATAGTCTCTTATGTAATTGTTTACTCTTTTATACTTTATGTACTTTGCGTGCCAGTTAACTTGTTAATATTTTTGTGTTGTGCGTACATTGCATTTGCAATCTGTTATGTGCACACATATACCTATAAATTCAATAATTAATATTATACATGCTGGAGGTTAAGTAAAGATACCTTTTTTGTTTTGCAGGATGACTTTAATTTATGTTGACAAACACAAGGGATGCATAGAAGTATCAGCATAATAACTTCAGAAACAAACTGTGATCCCAAACTAATCTTTAGTTAATAAAAGCCTCTGAAGAAATTTTTCCGCTTAGTTATATGAAGGAATTAAAATAGAGTCACAGAATATGAAGTGACTTAAATTTGGTTATGGCCTAAGTTGTTTGTGAACCTATGTGCACAGATAATGAGCATCCATAGTATAATACTAAAGTACTGTGTGAATTTAACGAAGATCACTGTCAGTCCATTCTGACATCTCTCGACATCTCCCAGTATCTCTCGACATGTTGTGTTTACTCCTATGCTGTAGCTCCTAACATAATTACATTGCAGTGCTGAAAAAAATATTTGAAAAAAATCACTGATTCTGGAGTTTAATTATTTCATGTAAACTTTTGCAGGTTGGTCCTACAGGAAGTGGTAAAAGTACTATAACCAGATTACTTTTTCGCCTTTATGATGTTCAGTCTGGTGAAATTCTTATTGATGGGCAGAACATAGCAAAGGTTAGCATATTATTCTATCTTATTTCAAATAGTTAAATATGATTCTTGATACAGGCTTGATGGTTATTTTGGTTTAAAGATTAAATAAGCTCTTTCTTAATAATAATTTTCAATAAGACATGTAAAATCTCTGTAGTGACACATATTTTCAAAAAGTTTCCTTTTTTTTTACTTTGGTGTACTTTGAAATTAATTGAAAAAAATGTTTGCATTGCTTGAGTTGAAATGAATTTGATAAATATTAAAAAATATCGAGAAAGAAGCTGATGGCTTTCATTTTCAATTTTTTACATATGGATTCAAATTCCAATTGACTTTTTTAAAAATATTATGTTAAAAAATGAATTTATGGGAAGAAAATTCTCTTCAAATTTCAGGTGACACAGAAATCTTTGCGTCAGAGTATTGGTGTTGTTCCTCAAGATACTGTGCTCTTCAATAATACTATAAGGTTTGAACGAATTTTTAGTTATCATAATTTTTCTGTTTTTAGTTAAAAAAATATTGTGATCTATAAGTAAAATATTTCTAGTGCTTGAAATTTACATGCAAGTTATCCAAAAGTTGTTCTTCACCTCCTTAATATACTACTGCATGGAAACATGATATCTCACATCTAAGCATTTCATGACCAATGTCCTCATTTATGAGGAATATTTTTAAGAATTGACCAAAGATGAGATTTTACTATGTTTTATAGTAGCTGTAAAATTATAAACTATTGATCTTAGGTATCCTGTATTTTTAAATGCATAAAACTCACTGATATCTTTTTTTTTACTCTGCACCAATCCTTTTTACTTTGACATCCAAAATTCTATTCAGAACCTTTTCTTGCAAAGTGTCTACCAGCATAGATAATGACTTTATCATTGGCTGAAACAGAAAAATTTCAATAATTGACAGATAGCCCGGATTAAGTGAAGTCCGGGTTAATATAATGCGAGTTGACAAGGAGCGTATTCCTTTTGGGTAGTGTTCCCTTAATTTCTGCTATATGAGCAGTTGAGAAACTTATTTTATGCTCTTTAGTCAGCTTACCAGTCAGTAACTAATATAATTAGATGACTGATCTATTGCTGCTTTTGCATCCAGCTGCCTAAATAGTTATTGTAAAAAAAGAAATATATATAAAGATTTTTCATGACTTCAGGTAGTGCAGTTTCATAGGTACAGTTAGTAATTAATAATAATAGGGATGAAGAGCTGCATTTATCGCTTTTAATTTGCATAGTTTTTTAATCAAAAGTAGATAGTTTTAACTAGAGAAAAAAATTAAATATCTTATGCTTAACATACTAGCTTTTAGAAAATAAAAATGTTTTATTTCAGGCAGTGACAGCACATTTCTTTTAAATTGCTGAGATTGCTGATTAAATTCGAAAGACAAACACCTTTTGCTTTGTGGAGAGGCAACAGATTTCTTTTAAATCATCTAGTTTGTTTATTGAATTTAAAAAAAAAAAAAAAAAAAGCTGAGTGGTAATGCACTTCTTTTAAATTGCTGAATTTTCCTATTAAATTCAAAACATAAATATCATATACTTTGCTAAATGGCAACACATTGCTACTCAGTTGAGTTTGTTAATAAAAGTTCCATTAAGTTTGCAGGGAGCATAAAATAAATAGATAAAAAGAAAAGTTGAATTTTGGGCTTTGAAGTGCTCTTTTTCAGGAGGAAGACTAGATCTGTTCAAAATTTGGTAGCTCTAGGTACTGCATTTTTCCACAGTGCGAGGAGCATAAATATATACATACATACTCTTCATTATTTAATGATAGAGATATTGTAAAGTTTTCAGGAACTTATAAAAATTGAACAAATGTTTAAGTAACAAAATGCAGCTTGTACCAGAAAATATGACAAAGAAGAGTTTTTTAAAAGAAAAAAAGAAGAAAAAGAATGGAATAGTAAATATTTATTTAATTCAGATGTAGAGATAGTAGGTATTTTTGGAAGCAGGCAAGGTGAAAAATTAGCAGTGCCTTTGCTGGGAATCAAACCGCGAACCTCTCAATCATGTGCTGAGCGTACAGACCACTACACCATGAAGGCTCACTAAAAAGGCGGGAGAAATACCTTATACAGTTTTAACAAATGTACTGATGATAATCACTGAATTGTACTGATGATAGTCACCACCATCATTACAATCATAACAGCATTGGAAATAATACTGAATTATTTTTTCTATAACTGGATATCTGGAACCAGTGGCTCCCAGCTTTTTTTCATTTGCGTACCCCTTGCTATGACCTCATAATTATATAATATGCCTAACTCCCGTTTCAGAACTTACTTTTAAAGCCCATACCGCCTTCAAATTTTCCTGCAATATGTCTTATTATTGTTTTATCTTAATGCTATAAAACTAAGACTCCAATGAATAAAGTAATAAAAATGTAATCAAGTAAATATTATTTCATTATTTATTTCAAATAAACAGTTGTTTTTAAACTGAAGCATAGCATTTTAATGAACTGCGGTGATTTTGAGTATCAGCTGTTGTAAAAAAAAGGAAAGAAGAAATTGAGTGAATTGATGAATTTATTGACTTAATATTTGATAAAATTTACACTTTTACCAAAAACTATAAGCATTAAATAGTGCTATACCACATTAAAATACTAAGCATGTAATAAATTTAAAAGGAATAAATGTATATAACTTCATTCCTAATAAATTAAAGTCAAAAATTAAGACTCAATATAAGAAAATTCCAGTAGCTGTTGCACATAAACACAAAACGAAAAGTACATCATCATATTATGTATCTAAAACTTAATTTTAAAAAAAGCATTTAACAAACAGCTGTAGTAAGGCAATCTTTTAAATTTAAGGCTCATTATTAGTGTGATTCTTGAGCCAAATTGCTTAAGTTCAATGTGTTAAAGTTGAGATCAAATCTGCAAAGGTTAGGCATTAAATTTCGTTAATTAAGTATCCAATTTATTAGTGTGATTGTTTTTTAATGCATATGTATAATGAAAACTTTCTTTGTACAAATCTTTTGTTTGTAAATGAAAGCAAACATTTTAATGCCTTTTCACTTATTTCTACTCTTCTGTTGTTGAAATCCCATAAGAAGCAATATACTCAATTTGAAGGATGGCCTTCAAAGAGTAATCAGTCAGCAGCCCAATAAGTTGCTGTATCTCAGAGAATGATAGTTTTGAAAGAACCTTAAAGAAATTTTCCTTGGAAGATTCTGAAACCCAGTTGTCTTCCTTATGTCATTTAGGAATGTAATGTTTGAATGATCCTTGGAGTCCTTTTAAGTGGATTATTATATCGATCTGAACTAGAGATGTGCGTGTCATGTACCCAATGGCTGCCCAAACCATCACACCAGGTGCAGGGCCCCTATTCCAATATCGAATGCAAGGAGACGACATGTCGTCTCTTAGGACACTCTGGACACATGCAGCCATTAGAATATTGCACGTAGAACCGGTACTCATTTGAAAAGGCAACATTGTGCAACTCCTGTAATCAGCTTTGTCGTTTGGCACACCAGAGTCGTTGTCTCTCTCTATGCTGCATTGTCAAGGGAAGCTGAATTAATGGTCACCTTGCTGATAGCCCATGCTGCTGCAAACATGCCCATTAACTGACTAAATGCTGTTCAGTATGACCCTCAGCAATCCATTAATTCCATATTCACATGACAGTGGTTGAATGTCGACCAGTGCAACCAGCGATATCATGTAACAATAATATACACTTTCGAAACTGCCTCGATCAAATTTCGAAACTTGCTGGTAAGCATTTCTTCTTATTATTTGAGGCATAATACAATATTCTGAGCAAATTCCTACCTTACAAAGCACTTTCCGAATGAGAAATCCACTACACAACCTTTCTTACACGACACTCACATCTCTAGTTCGGATTGACATAATATTTCACTTAAAAGGACTCCAAGGATCATTCAAATGACATGAGGAAGACAACTGGGTTTCAGAATCTTTTAATGAAAATTTCTTTAAGGTTCTTTCAAAACTATCATTCTCTGAGATACAGCAATTTACTGGGCTGCTGATTGATTAATCTTTGAAGACCATCCTTCAAAATGAGTATATTGCTTCTTATGAGATTTAAGCAACAAAAGAGTACAAATAAGTGAAAGGCATTAAAATGTTTGCTATCATTTACAAACACAAGACTTGTACAAAGAAAGTTTTCACCATTACATGTGCATTAAAAACAATCACACTTATAAATTGGATACTTAATTAACAATCCAGTTACAAACAAATAGATACAAATTTTTTTCAGTGGCTTTCTTAAGGTCCAAATGTGAAATTTTATCTGTTATCTGGTGATAAAAACAATGAAAATCTAGTTCAACCATTCTGCAGAATAAATTATGATATCATTAAAATTAGCAAAAATCATATAATTAAAATCGTAAAAACAACCTTGTATTTAGCGTAAGTATAATGAAACACTCAATCGATTTCGAGGGCAGCTAAAGGTCCCTCCTCATCAGGAGAAAGTAATACCTAGAAAGAAGAAAATAAAGGAGAAGGAGTCTCAGAAAGACGTGGTCCTTATCAGCACTGCACGTGGTTATAACTGGATTTTTAATCAGAGTTGCTCTGGCCACCTACTTTTACTGAGCCAGGCTATCTGATCAAGCATAAAGGACAAGAAAAATTAGCGAAGTTAAAATAGGGAGCGAGGGGCAAATGCACCTTCACGCTCAAAATCTGAACTTCAAATAATGGAAAGCAACCACTGAACGGATTTTTCTACCCTCTGGTAGTACCAAACGCGAGGAGGTAACGCCATCTATCGGCAAAAATAACTGAATTAAGATAGTAGAATTTTAAAGGCATTAGGAAGGACTGGATTGGACTTCAAATCATTAAATAAACCTGCTAAATCTTTGTGAATGTGAAAAGCCTCAAAGAAATCCAATTCACCTATGGAAGAAGCCTTTTGGATAATTTTTGCAGACCCAAAGTCAAAAGTGCTGATAAGGACCACGTGTTTCTGAGACTCCTTCTCCTTTATTTTCTTCTTTCTATGAGTGTTTCATTATGCTTACGCTAAATACAAGGTTGTTTTTTACGATTTTGATTGTCACATTAGCGTGTTTCTCTTCTAGTCTAATCATACAATTGTTGAAAATTCAATAGTTATGTTAAAGATGCTGTTCAATGTGTGTTTGAAGAAGAACATGTTAAAAAAATTAATAGCATCCCTTTCTTACATGATACAGTATCTTGGAGGATTGTTTGGTATCTAAATGATGGAAATGCTTCATATTTGCATTTGATAAAGCCTTCCCACATACTACACCACAGGATTGGATGCTTTCATAGTAGTTTCAGTTCTGTGCATAGATCTACTTTAAAATGAATTTTTTGAATGTCACTGTTGCAAAGCAAAGTAAGAGAGTTACATAATTTACTCAATCGTTAAGTCAATAACAAAAAAAAAAAAAAAAAAAAAAAAAGTTTGGTTTCCAGTAATTTTATACAGTACATTGTGACAGAGTTAGGCAAAAGGTGCTATATGGGATGCATAAGAAATTGAGCAATATGGCTGATGTTAGTGGTACTAGATACAATGAACTGTATCTAGTACTACTAAAGCCTAACTATCTGACATTCAACTAAGTGAAAAAGTTTAGAATTTTAGAAAAAAAAAATATTTTCCCACAAAATTAAGTAAATGGGAGATTTGTAATGCCATTATAGAGCTTGTTATACTATTAGCATGTATACATCGTCACCAGACGGTATGATTTATTATCAAAATGGAAAATATGATATGACTATATATGGTAAGAACTTCACCTTGGTTTTATGTAAACCCGATTGATTCTCAACGAGCTGGTTAATTTTGGTGAAGACGGATATAGTTCTGTTTTTCTTGCATTTTGAAAAAATTATTAATATCTAGAGTTTCCCATATATGGGACAGCATGCAGTAGAATTATAGGATCTTGCCATCAAAAAAGGCCTAGTGTGTGACTTTATTTGATAATGGATAACAATGGCAGTGCAATGTGAAAAATTATGATAAACAATTTAAGTTTATGTGCTGTATCTGTTTATTATCTAATTATATGATCTTTTATTAAATTTCTACAGAAATGATGGCACACACATGATGACATCTCCAACGGCTTTCATGTTTGGTGGGATTTTATACTCGAATAGGTTACTTTCAAATTTAAGTCCTACATCAGCTTTTATGTTTGAAATGTGTCCCCCTCCCCCAGTCTTATACAGAGGATGTTCGCACATTTTTAGACGAATTTGCTTTGCTATGAAAACAAAATCACCTGCTTGGAAAATTTGTTTTTATCTGCAACTATATTTTTGAAAGTATAAATTACCATCTGCTACTTGACAATTTTGTTTTCATGCGAAATAGCAGTTTTAAAGACTATGTTTGTGCTCTTACTGAAGAAAATTATTTGTATCTAGTTTTTAAAAAAGACTGTGAAAGCCATTATTTTTCGATATGTAAAGCAAAAATAGATACTGTCAAAAAGAAAGGAGAAAAATTTTGGCTTCAAAGAGAAAAATTGTTCAAAATACATATCCAAATAAAAAATGGCATGCTTCAAATGTTGCAAAGGTAAGAACTTTAATGTTAAAAGAAAATCCATAAAGTAAGGCTAAGTGTCAACTGTAAACAAAGTGATTAATGTTTATTTGAATCATAGAAAGGCAAAGAAAACTTATTACTTTTCTTCACGACATATTGCCGAATACAGAATGTGCTGCAGAATTCTGTATAAGAAACAATTATTTGGTCAAAAATGGAAAAATATTGTCACTATGGATGAATCTTGGGTATATTTAAATGACTGTAATAAAAAGAGATTAATTTATTATCATCAAAGAGAAGAAAAAAAATCTTAGAACAGGTTTCAAAGAATCTAAAGAAATTTTCAGAGATTTATGATTGTTGCTGGTTTTTGATATAACACAAAATAAAAATTAAAGAGAGCGCAGAAAACTGTTAAGGTCAATTCCACATAAGAAATTATGTTTCTTTACCCACAGTGCCATCAATCAGTAGAACTGCATCAAGACAAAGCAAGCAAACGTATGTCAAAATCTACTTTTAATTTCCTGGGAAAAAATTGAACAACAAACAGGTATCAAAACCATACCCTTCACTTATATGCCTACTAAATCTCCTGATGTATCATCCCCGGATGTTTGCCTTTTTGGATTTTAAAAAAGCGAATTGTCCGAACGTCAACCTACAGCTCTCCTTGGACTCTGGGAAGCTGTTCAAGAGGAATGGGATAAAATACCTCTTTCGATACTAAAAGAGGCTTTATTATCTTGGAAATTATAGTGAAGATTAAGGGTTATCAAATCGAACGTTTAAAGCGCAAAAATTTTAAGTAAAATATTTCTGTAAATACAAAGAAAATCATCTGAAAATGTGCGAACAGCTTCAGTAGGATTTTAAATGTAGGCTTTTGATATTTTAGTTGGTAAAAAAATATGATGACTGGTTTTATAATTTTAGACTGGGAGTTTTTTCTATTCATTTGACTTTTCTAAAATGAATCTCCTTTTTTATACACTCAGTTATTCGGAATTTTCATGTGTCTGGTATTTGGCATTTTTTGAGCTTTCCGAATTGTCAAGCTTTTACCGTATTTGTTATATGTGTACTTTTTATTTAATAAATTAAAAATTTTGGAATATTTTCCTTTTTTTATCATTGATTTAACATTTTCCCTCCATTATTGATAATTTTTTCTCCCATTCCTGACTCTCTTTTATTCATCACATAACCCCCCACCAGGGAATATTATTACCACAGGTTGTGAACCGTTGCCTAGAACAATTACCTTTGTGCCTTATAATGAGCTTCTTGAATGTGAATAAATTATTTTTTTCTACTGTTCTTATTGTGATCATTATTATTTATATGGTGCAATGTCCCTTACTTGTACAATGTTGAACTGAATATGTAGCCTTAAATCCTCTCTTCTTGTCATTCATTTTTATTGCAATTGCCATTTTTTCAACTTATATAAAGTTTTTTAAATCTATATTAAGTTTTGGCTACCTTTTTATATTTACCGGTTCCAAATCTTTGAATATTAAATTCATGAAATTATTTTTTATTGCTTGTATTAATTATAGTTTTTGCTGTAATTTATAATTTAATCACAGAAGTCAAATAATAAAATTTTCTGTGTTTTTTTAACTTACTACTTTTAAATATATTTTCTCAAAATAATAAAATAGCATACATATGTACATTTGCAGTTACTTTGTGACACAAAATTATCCTAATAATATTCTCTTAACTTTTAAATGACTTTATGTATAAAGTCATTCAAAAGTTAATGGAATAAAAACTGTAAAATAAGAAATATAGTATTTGCATGAGCTATAATTGAAACTTATATTCTAATTGGAAAAATTAAAAATAAATTATAAATCGAAAGAAAACTTTATTATCATAAGTCTTTTGAAGTTGTTAACCAAAGCGAGAAATATAAATCGTATGAAATCCCAAAATTATGAAATGTAATTTAACATGTATTTGAGAATCTGGAAATTTGTCTCTGCTAAATTATAAAAAGTATTCTTCTGCTAAATTATAAAAAGTATTCAGCCTTCAGTTAAGTGTTAGTTATGTAAGAAACTGACTATATTTTTAAGTATTTATGTACTGAAATGAAATGTGTATGTTTTGTTGACTTATTGTTTAATGTGATGTTAGATATAATATTGGCTATGGGAGGCCAACAGCTTGTGATGAAGAAATAGAAGAAGCAGCTAAAGCAGCAGATATGCATAATCAAATTTTGAGTTTTCCTGAAGGTGAAGACTGTTTCATATTAATTTTTACTATTTTCTAAACTATTGAATTTTTTATGCAAGAATTCATACTGCAGATGATAATTTTTAATTCTGTGGTTGTTACTAAATATTTTTCTCATAAACTTACTTGATACATAATATGTATTATTTTGGTTTTATATGATAGATTTTATTGCATATATTCAAAATCTTGTATATATTGTGTCACAGAAATTTATGAAATTGATTGCAAAATAATTAAATTTTTTAGAATATTATTTTAAGGATATTAGTTTTGTAAATGTCATTTCTTAATTTTATTTCAAAATATTTGTTGATTCTTAAGGAGGAATAAAGCCATCGCATATTTTCTGTAGTAGAAATAACCTCAACTATTAATTAACAGTAATTAAATTTTGAAATTATTATGCACGATCTACACATAAAATGCTTTTGTGGGTTGCTAAAACTTAGATGTATTTTACTGAGTGTTAATTTTGCTTTAGAGTTCTAGCTTATAGCTCAAAATTTCTTTTTATGAATTAATTTATTGATAATATATTATTTCAGGTTATGATACAGTTGTTGGAGAACGTGGACTGAAGTTAAGTGGAGGTGAAAAACAACGAGTAGCAATTGCAAGAACAATTTTGAAAGCACCTTCATTTATCATTTTAGATGAAGTACTAATTTTGAATTTATATTAAATCTTTTCACAAAAAAAAAAAAAAAAAAAAAAAAAAAAAAAAAATGTCTGAAAAGCATGCGAAATATTTTTCTGTTATTTATTTATAGGTAGGACAAAAATATATTTATAGATTAGTGTGCTTGATATTTGTGTCTTCTATGTAAATACGAGGGCCATCCAGGAAGTAGATTACGTTTTCGTCTGTGTCCGCTAGGGGCGGGGCTAGCGCGGCCATCTTGGGGTCAGAGCGTTGCGCAGCTCAGTCTGCATCTAGCCGTGCTAGTGAGAGGTTCGTGCTGTGCTCCGTTCAGATACTGTGACGGTTTGAAATGTCTGCGTTAATTGAAAATCCCACGAGCTGCACTCAGTAATAAGGTTTCTGACTGCAAAAAACTGTAAACCGATAGAAATCTATCGGCAGCTTCGTGAAGTGTATGGGGACAACATTATCACTGAAGGTGGAGTGCGTCAGTGGGTCATAAGATTTCAAAATGGCCGAACCAATGTTCACGACGAAGATCGAAGTGGGAGACCCAGCATAGTGACCGCCGAACTTCTCGAAAAAGTCGATGCTAAAGTCCGTGAAAATCGAAATTTCACAATAAGGGAACTTTCTTTGAGTTTTCCACAAATTTCGCGAAGTTTCTTGCACGAAATCATCAGCGAAAAGCTTGGTTACCACAAGTTTTGTGCAAGATGGATTCCAAAAATCTTGACAGAGGACCACAAAAATCAGCGAATGGCTGCAGCGTTGAACTTTTTGGACGCTTACCATAAGGATGGTGACTCTTTACTCTCGATCGCATCGTTACTGGTGACGAAACATGGGTGAAACATGTGAAACTGTGAAACGAAATTGCAATCAATGCAGTGGGGGCACACAAGTTCTCCCCAAAAACCCAAGAAATGCATGCAAACAATGTCGGCAAGGAAGATGATGGCGACTGTTTTTTGGGACAGAAAAGGTGTAATTTTGGTGGACTTCCTGGAAAGAGGCACTACAATAAACTCTCAAAGGTATTGCCAAACTCTCCAAAAACTCAGAAGAGCAATTCAAAACAAGCGCAGAGGAATGTTGAGCTCTAAGATCTTGTTGATTCACGACAACGCCCGGCCCCACACGGCAAATGTCACTCGTAAAGTTCTTGAATCTTTTAAATGGGAGTTGTTTCCTCATCCGCCGTACAGTCCCGACCTGGCACCGAGCTTCCACCTATTCCCAGCAATGAAGAAGTGGCTGGCTATGCAGCGTTTTGATGACGACGCACAGCTGCAAGAAGAGGTAACGAAGTGGTTGAAGGCGCAGGCGGCCGAATTTTTCGACGAAGGAATTTCCAAGCTCGTACATCGCTACGATGAATGCCTTAATTTGTATGGTGACTATGTAGAAAAGTAGTATTTGAGTGTGGCTTTCATCTGTATATAATAAAATTTGTTTCCTATACTTTGTTTATTTTTTTATTCCAAAACGTAATCTACTTTCTGGATAGCCCTCGTATATTGTTGATTTTATATATATGTACAGTTTATAAAGATATCAGAAATACTATAGGCAAGAGATTATGAACAAAAAACAGATTTCAGAACTAATTCAGAAGACAAACGGTTTATTTGCGGTTTTGCAGCTGAGGATGGTGGTTCGGTAAAACCATCGAAACTAGTCCTGTGGAAATTTTGTAAATATAATGCTGATTTTTGCTGTTTGTCGTCTGAATTAGTATTTATTCGGCGTGTTATTGTGTCTTAATTATAGAAGCCCCAAACAGATTTCAGAACATTAATATTCATAATATTTCCTTGTTTTACCGCATAAAAAATTGTGGACTTTATTTTTTAAAATTAAGTTTTTTTAGGGGGATTATAGTTATTATTGTTTGCCCATCTAATGTTGATTGTAAATTTTTAATATCTTAGTTCTTCTATATACTGTCATTTATAAATAATTCTATAAAATTATATATAAGTCTATAAAATTCAATAAAATTTGGCTCTAATCATTTATTATAGCCTACAAATTGCAATCCTTCCTATTTGAGAGTAACTTACTTGACTAGAAGAGAAACACGCTAATGGGCCAATCAAAATCGTAAAAACAACCTTGTATTTAGCGTAGGTATGATGAAACACTCAATCGATTTCGAGGGCAGCTAAAGGTCCCTCCTCATCAGAAGAAAGAAATACCTAGAACGAAGAAAATAAAGGAGAAGGAGTCACAGAAACACGAGGTCCTTATCAGCACAGCACATGGTTATAACTAGATTTTTAATCAGAGTTGAACTGGCCGCATACTTTTACTGAGCCAGGCTATCTGATCGGCATGAAAAATTAGCAAAAGTTAAAATAGGGAGCGAGGGGCAAATGCACCTTACGCTCAAAATCTGAACTTCAAATAATGGAAAGCATCCACTGAACAGATTTTTATACCCTCTGGTAGTACCAAATGCGAGGAGGTAACGCCAACTATCAGCAAAAATAACTGAATTAAGATAGTAGAATTTTAAAGGCATTAGGAAGGACTGGATTGGATTGGATTTCAAATCATTAACTAAACCTGCTAAATCTTTGTGAATGTGAAAAGCCTCAAGAAAATCCAATTCACCTATGGAAGAAGCTTTTTGGATAATTTTTGCAGATCCAAAATCAAAATTATGGTTAAAAGTCCAACTATGATACACTATTGAAGACTTGTTAATTTCGCCTTTTCTGACATAAGATTCATGTTCCTTCATAAAAAAACTTCAACGCTCTTTTCGTTTGGCCGATATATCTTAAACCACACTGACACGATATACTATAAATTCCCCAAGAATTCAAGACAGAAACGCAAACTTTTAGAATCGAAGGATGAATTTTATTAATAGGGGAGAAACCGACTTGAAAATTGAATTTCTGGAGAATCTGTGCAATTTTCTAGCTAACAGAAGGATAAAATGGAAGCACGATGAGGTCATTAATATTATTTCTAACAGTGGAATGTCTTCTTTGATGGGAATCTGAAAATTTTTTAACAGCTTTATCAATAATCACGGGAGAAAATCCACGGTCAATCGCAACTGCTCTCAAATAATTAAGTTCATTGGTAAGCAAAGATTCAGAGGAACAATCTTTAAGCATGCGGAATACATAATAGTAAAAAGAAGCCATTTTTTGCTTAATAGGGTGGCATGACGTTGCATGGGGTGGTAAACAAACTGCAAAGGGTTTACGGTACACAGTGGTGCTAAAATCAGTTTCATTGCGAATTATAAGAATATCAAGGAAGGAGAGGGAATTGTTGCATTCAATTTCAAGAGTGAATTGGATGGCTGGATCAATTGAATTCATAATAGATAGAATCTCGGATAAATCCTCTTTATAACTGTCAAAAAGTAACGAAAGTGTCGTTGTCAGCAAGTACCGGACTGAGAGGATTACCCATAGCCAATCCTTCAACTTAACGAAAATATGCATTTTGGAAAACAAAGTGGGTTTGACTTAGAGAAACTTTAGTAAGCGAAAACAACTCATTAATTTCAGTATGTGTAAAGTGAAATTCCCGAAGCCTAGTTTCAAGACAATTTAGTCCTCCTTTGACCGAAACATTAGTAAACAGTGATTTGACATCAAATGAAACCATAATGGAATGAAGAGGAGAAATATTTTTAAGTTTATCAATGACTTCAACAGAATTTTTTACAGTGTGAATATTGTTAGCAAGTAGAGGAGAAAATCTGGAAACTAAATATTTGGCCAAAGGATATGAAGCAGTACCTATGTTGGAAACAATTGGTCGAAAAGGAATACCGGTTTTGTGGACTTTTGGAAGAGCATAAAGTCCAGTGCAATTAGTAATAGGTGGAATAAGTGATTTCTTCAACTGAGTTGGCAGAATGTGGGAAGATTTAATGGCACTTTTTACTTTCGTGAGGTCCGAAGTTGAAGGATCTTTAGGGATCGAGCAGTATGGGCCTTCATTTATCAGTTTAGGGACTCCAGTAATATAAGTATGTTTGTCCATAACAACAATCTGTCTGCCCTTATCAGCTTTAGAGATAATGATATTAGTATCAGAATGAATTTCGCGTAAGGTCTCATTTTCCTTTTTGCTAAGATTCGAACCCAAAGATTTGTTGTTAAAATTAACGTTATGAGTAATTAGGTGGCGGATTGTATCCTTCTGCTTTTCCGAAATATTGGAGAATTTAAAGGCTTTCTCTATAGGGGCGATGATTTGAGGAATTGAAGGTTTAGATGTCTTTGAAAAGTTGAAATTATATTTTAATACTTTTAACTGATCCTCCGAAAGATTCCTATTGGAGATATTAACAATGGGGTTAACGTTTACAGTGGGAAGATCAGCTAGATAGTTGAGAATATCCGACTGGTGTGTGAGTTTAAAGAATTTAGAAATAAGCACATTTTTATGCTGTTGACAAACGGTATCGGTTCTAGACCAGGATGTATGTTCAAATGAGGAAAAAGTTCAGTGGAATTAGCAATTTCTAAATGGAGGTAATATAATTCAAATTCAATTTTAGATAAACGTTTGCGTGTGTCCCTTATAATGTGACGAAGAAGTGCCAATTTGAATTTATGCAAAATTTTTGAAACGTGAACGGAAGCTTTAAGGCTACATTTCACATGTATAAATTTGGGAATGATATTTTGATGTTTGCATTTAATAATGCATAAGTAATAACTTGTTTGGACTTTCGGAATTATATTTCTTTTGTTCACTTGTTTCTTGCTTGTGCCCTTTTCACAATATGTCCACTGACAGGAACCGATTTTGTAAGTTACGCCTTAAGCGTACGAAATTCTTGAATCATCTACAGTTTCTACTTAAATGCAAACATCAAAATTTCATTCCCAAATTTATACATGTGAAATGTAGCCTTAAAGCTTCCGTTCACGTTTCAAAAATTTTGCATAAATTCAAATTGGCACTTCTTCGTCACATTATAAGGGACACACGCAAACGTTTATCTAAAATTGAATTTGAATTATATTACCTCCATTTAAAAATTGCTAATTCCACTGAAAATTTTTCCTCATTTGAACATACATCCTGGTCTAGAACCGATACCGTTTGTCAACGGCATAAAAATGTGCTCATTTCTAAATTCCTTAAACTCACACACCAGTCGGATAGTCCCAATTATCTAGCTGATCTTCCCACTGTAAACGTTAACTCCATCGTTAATATCTCCAATAGGAATCTTTCGGAGGATCAGTTAAAAGTATTAAAATATAATTTCAACTTTTCAAAGACATCTAAACCTTCAATTCCTCAAATCATCGCCCCTATAGAGAAAGCCTTTAAATTCTCCAAAATTTCGGAAACGCAGAAGGATACAATCCGCCACCTAATTACTCATAACGTTAATTTTAACAATAAATCTTTGGGTTCTAATCTTAGCAAAAAGGAAAATGAGATCTTACGTGAAATTCATTCTGATACTAATATCATTATCTCTAAAGCTGATAAGGGCGGACAGATCGTTGTTATGGACAAACACACATATATTACTGGAGTCTCTAAATTGATAAATGAAGGCCCATACTGCTCGATCCCTAAAGATCCTTCAACTTCGGACCTCATGAAAGTAAAAAGTGCTATTAAATCTTCCCACATTCTGCCAACTCAGTTGAAGAAATCACTTATTCCGCCTATTACTAATTGCGCTAGACTTTATGCTCTTCCAAAAGTCCACAAAACCGGTATTCCTTTTCGACCAATTGTTTCCAACATAGGTACTGCTTCATATCCTTTGGCCAAATATTTAGTTTCCAGATTTTCTCCTCTACTTGCTAACAATATTCACACTGTAAAAAATTCTGTTGAAGTCATTGATAAACTTAAAAATATTTCCCCACTTCGTTCCATTATGGTTTCATTTGATGTCAAATCATTGTTTACTAATGTTCCGGTCGAAGGAGCACTAAATTGTCTTGAAACTAGGCTTCGGGAATTTCACTTCACACATACTGAAATTAATGAGTTGGTTTCGCTTACTAAAGTTTCTCTAAGTCAAACCCACTTTGTTTTCCAAAATGCATATTTTCGTCAAGTTGAAGGATTGGCTATGGGTAATCCTCTCAGTCCGGTACTTGCTGACATTTATATGCACTATTTTGAGATGAAATTATTTGATAAATTATCTTTTCGTCTTTGGATTCGGTATGTTGACGACACTTTCGCACTTTTTGACGGTTATAAAGAGGATTTATCCGAGATTCTATCTATTATGAATTCAATTGATCCAGCCATCCAATTCACTCTTGAAATTGAATCCAACAATTCCCTCCCCTTCCTCGATATTCTTATAATCCGCAATGAAACCGATTTTAGCACCACTGTGTACCGTAAACCCTTTGCAGTTTGTTTACCACCCCATGCCAAGTCATGCCACCCTGTTAAGCAAAAAATGGCTTCTTTTTACTATTATGTTTTCCGCGCGCTTAAAAGTTTGTTCCTCTGAATCTTTGCTTACCAATGAACTTAATTATTTGAGAGCAGTTGCGATTGACCGTGGATTTTCTCCCGTGATTATTGATAAAGCCGTCAAAAAATTTTCAGATTCCCATCAAAGAAGACATTCCACTGTTAGAAATAATATTAATGACCTTGTCGTGCTTCCATTTTATCCTTCTGTTAGCTATAAAATTGCACGGATTCTCCAGAAATTCAATTTTCAAGTCGGTTTCTCCCCTATTAATAAAATTCACCCTTCGATTCTAAAAGATTGCGTTTCTGTCTTGAATTCTTGGGGAATTTATAGTATATCATGTCAGTGTGGTTTAAGATATATTGGCCAAACAAAAAGAGCGTTGAAGTTTCGTATCAAGGAACATGAATCTTATGTCAAAAAAGGCGAAATTAACAAGTCTTCAATAGCGTATCATAGCTGGACTTTTAACCATAATTTTGATTTTGGGTCTGCAAAAATCATCCAAAAGGCTTCTTCCATAGGCGAATTGGATTTTCTTGAGGCTTTTCACATTCACAAAGATTTAGAAAGTTTAGTTAATGATTTGAAGTCCAATCCAGTCCTTCCTAATGCCTTTAAAATTCTACTATCTTAATTCAATTATTTTTGCCGATAGATGGCGTTACCTCCTCGCGCTTGGTACTACCAGAGGGTATAAAAATCCGTTCAGTGGTTGCTTTCCATTATTTGAAGTTCAGATTTTGAGCGTAAGGTGCATTTGCCCCTCGCTCCCTATTTTAACTTCGCTAATATTTCTTTATGCTTGATCAGACAGCCTGGCTCAGTAAAAGTAGGCGGCCAGTGCAACTCTGATTAAAAATCTAGTTATAACCACGTGCAGTGCTGATAAGCACCACGTGTTTCTGTGACTCCTTCTCCTATTTTCTTCTTTCTATGTATTTCTTTCTCCTGATGAGGAGGGACTTTTAGCTGCCCTCGAAATCGATTGAGTGTTTCATTATACCTACACTAAATACAAGGTTGTTTTTATGATTTTGATAGTAACTTACTTGTTTACTTTTCAAATGTGTGCACTTAATAAGTTGATATATTCTTTTTTATGCCATTTTATATTCCAAAAAGGAATGCACAAACAATGTTTTCAAAATGAAATTTTTATGAATTAAGTTTTAATAATGGTAAAAATTTTGTTTTCAGTTGGTAAGAATACATATTATTAAATGGTAAAATCCTCTCTGAGATGAGATATTATGATGTAGTTTTCAGAATGCAAGTCCATCCTCCCCTAACTGTGAAAATACTTAACTAAGTAAATCAGATTACAAACAGTCATCTTGATTAAAGGAAATTGTGTGAAATTTATTCTACAGCCAAACTTCTGTAAGTACTGTTATGTGTGAGCATAATAGCTCCTCTGAAAGATGTCATGAATAAACTTCATGAATAATCATAGTTGAGTTCGAATGTATCCATTATCTGCTTGAAGCCTTGGATTCCATCTAACTATATCCCAGTTTTAATCAAAAGCACATGGAAAGAGAATCCAAAGGTCTGTAATCCTCTTTCTCTACTATTAATCTCATGATGGGATGTTTTTCTCAATGGATTTTTAAGTGCTTCTATGTTGCTAAGACACTTCATAAACATTCATTTCTTCTTTTGATTCAAACTTGAGCCCAGTTATAAGGTAGCCACATTTGTCAATCATCATCTCATTCAAAATGGCTTAATTAGACCACTGGTAGTTTGATATGACTTGGAAGTCATGTGTCAGTATTTTGAAAACAACTGTACTTGTAAGCTGTTTTTGTAGACAACATCAGCATTGTATGAGATTGAATTAGCCTTAAGTAAACATTATAAAGGGCCAAAATTGGTCAGCTGGCCATACAGCTGAGTATTGTATGTTAAAGTTGTTACCTTAGTCAAGAACTTGGATAGCCATATCTAATCTTGCAGTACAATAGTTTTACTGTGATCTTATGTATATTTTTTGTGTGCATTGCATCTGGCATCACCAGTGTTTCACTACCAAACAGAGAATCTGTTGATGACCTAGTATCAAAAACGGTGCCTAACATGGATAATGGATCCTTGACCAGATATGAAAATATTGTTGTTGGTGAGGAGATCTCATTTTCTTTTGTACTGGTCTGATGGTTAGATTCATATACAGCAGAGACATTATTAAGCCATATATCATGATTTAATAGGTCTTAATAATTTGCTAGAGGTAATTAGTGTTCTTGTTTGAAAAAAATTTGCTCTGTCATATTATAAATCTGTTGATTGTCATTCCATAAAATGCTATTAACAGTAAATACTACAAGCATCCTTTCAGTTGCTTTTCTGCACACATATTACCGTACCTTCTCTAGTCATTTCTTCATCATGTGAAAAATCTGTCTGGACCACAGTGAAATTTTTTTTTCCAAGACAGTGTAGTTTGTCATCAAGCTTGACAGCTACTGGATGTTTCTGATGATATAACAGATTCAAATGATTGCTTTAATTGCCAAACTGCAACCTAATGAACTTTGTGGCATTTAGAAGAATGAGGTGCAGCAGCCACTGATGTATCTCTTTATGAAAGAACATAGGTGAACTATGCAGCAGGTATAAATAAAATAAAATGAAGAAAATGCTAAAAAAATTTTGAATCTGTTTCTAAGCTTCTGTCAGTCTTGATCTCAAAATATAAAATCAATCTCTCTCTCTCTCTCTCTCTCTTTTTTTTTTTTTTTTTTTACATACAGTGTTTCTATTATTGTTTGAAAAAGGTGTTCTTTATTATTATTATTATTTGATTACTCTAAAAATATGCAAATAACATTTGATTGTTTCATTTCTTTTGCTCATTTTCATTTTATCCTGTAGGCAACTTCTTCATTGGATACACAGACTGAAAGGAATATACAAAATTCTTTGGCTGCTATCTGTTCTAACAGGACCACTCTCATCATAGCACACAGGTGATTTGAAAACATGCCTTATAGCTTTTTAACACAATATAAGATTTGTTTTAAATATATAGAATGTTCAGTTTAAAAGCAGAACATTTATAAAAACAGTAAGTTAGCATTTTTATGGGACATATATTATCCATTGCATATGTTGGATATGAAGCCTCTCCAGTTAAGTGTGTATGTTAACATACTTTATCTTGTTACTAGTATTATTATGAAACTTTTCCTTATCTGTACTCTAGGTGCCAGCAGTTGCATTCATTTTCAATTCTTTCAGGATGTGTATATTTATAAATACAGTTTGGGTTAAGTATGCCCATAAAATGTAGTCTAGATTGGCAAGAACTGCAGATATCAGTGGTCATGATCTTTAGAGGTAATTCTGCTGGCAAAAAAATTCCTTCAGCATTTCCTTGGTGCAGTCTGCTGATGAAATTTTACATCAGTTCTCCTGCAATAAAACAATGAACTTCTTGATAAGTCTGAACATTAATAGTGTCAAAGAATAGAGAGTCAATAATTTTTCCCCGTGATATGACAGACCAAATAATAATTTTCAGTGATCCATATTTGGTAATGGAATGTGTATACAGAAATGGGGCATTGAGATTGTGCAGATGACTGTTAAGAGGTAGATGAAAAACTCTGCTGGTATAAACTGTTATTCAACAAGTGTATCTCAAACAGCATACATTGCTACTTGAATATGGAACTTGGTAGCATGTCTATTACTTATAAAGCTACAGACATAGCAGCTGCTTGAAAGGGATACTTGGGAATCATTCTCTGTACCTCCTTCAAGTAGCTATTCCATTTTAACCACAGCCACATAGGTGAAAGCTCCATATTCATGTAGCAATGTATACCACTCAAAATTTGCATGGAAAGTTATGACTCTTACAGCAGAGCACTTTTACATATCACTCAATAACGCTTTATATCAGCTGAACATGCCATGCCTGCATACTTATTCCACTATAAAAGTTGCTTATTTTAGTCTCTTCTACCTGCCTTTACATTTTTGTGGCATATTTTTAATCACCCTGTATATATTTCAATTAAACAACTTAATCTGTGAGAAACATCAAATTTAAAATAGAAATGCTGCCATGAATGAAGTTCTTATAAAACAGCAGTCAGAGACCTGATACATAATCTGGCAGCTTCCCACTAAAGATTCACCATAAAATCCTTTTCACGCTTCTTACATATAACGAAGCAATGCAGGAGTCGGGGAATTGCTGCAAGAAAGTATACATAAAATTATATAGCCATAAATAAATTCTCTTTTAAATTAAACACCCTATACCAGTGAAGGTGAACCTTTTTTTTTTTTTTTCGGGGTGGGGGACAGTGTGCTCAAAACTTCTTTGATTAAATCCCCATCGCTGAGCGGTTCACCATGTTTTGCCAGGCAAAGTGAAATTTGAAAGCTGCCCATTGTTAGATGGTGTGTTTTAGAAAGATAATTGCAAAATCATCTTTCTGATAATTTTAATTCCTCAATTTCCCTTCAATAAACACCTTCCATTCAGCTGTCTCACATTCGGCAACAATCGTGTGGTTGGTGTTAAAGGCTTAGGCCCTATGCCAGTGGCATTATGCGATAAATAAGTAAGTGAAACGTTCAAGAATGGATTAAAACATTTATTTAAATTACATAGTACAGTCAAAAGTCTTTAATCCGGAATGATCTATAATCCGGACCTCAAAGCTATAAACTTTCTGTGGATGCATAAACGCATGTGAATAAAACCTTTACACATGCGCATTTAACGTATAACGGACGGTATAAGCTAAGATAAAATTATCTATTTCAGTTAATGTTGCGGATTGCATTGTTCCTTAATCTTCTAATTGGATCCGTCTTATTATTTTTTGCAGACTGTTAGAGCAATTTTATAAAATTAAGCTTGAACTTTCGATTATGTCAAAAAGAATTTCCGATTCTGGAGCTGCCAAAGGATCTACAAAGCGAAAGCATGTTTCGATGTCCATCAAACAAAAAGTGCAATTGCTTCAAAAAATGGATAAAGGCATATCCTTTGTTTCTCTAACCATTCTGAAATCAGTTTATCAATTTCACGCTGTTCTGCCGGGGGGGGGGGGGGGCACATTGCGGCACGCAAGGAACTGGAAGTTGATCTGTCAGCACTATCCTTATCTTCAAGGCAGATGTTTTTATTTTATTTGGCTTATAATTCTTTACTAAATGTAGTATTTCATCTCGATGTACTCCATCTTTGATATGATTTAAATCAAATTCCTCGTCATTATAAATATCACGAATACAGATCAAATAGTTTTTTGGTTGCAATTTTCTAATTTCGACTGTGCATAATGTATGCTTTACGCATGCGCGCATTGAAAGAAATGTTTAATAAAGTAAACAAATAAATATTAAGCTGTTTTTTTTTTGTAAATTTTGATACCCTTCAGATCATAATTGCTCTTTATTTCATAAACTACGGTTTCATATTTTTAATTTTATAATTTCTGCATGCCATCTTACCAGATTTAAACTGATGATCTATAATCCGGAAAAACCGATAATCCAGAGTCGCCGAAGTCCTGATGAGTTCGGATTAAAGACTTTTGACTGTATTACTTTATTGTGATTATTGATTAAGGAAGTAATATTTTAGTCACGTGCCGGCTTATAAGACTGTGCGTGCTGACTGTGGCACACGTGTCATAGGTTCGCCATCACTGCCCTATACTATAGAAAATTAACATTTATTTTAATAATCTATAGTTATTTTTTTATATTTATTTTATGTTATTTTCATATTCTTTTTTAAGATTGTCGACCATTATTCATGCTGATGAAATTTTAGTCTTGAAAGAAGGAGAAATTATAGAAAGAGGAAGGTAAGTTTCCTATCTATTCCAGTGTTTGTTGCATATTTGAATTTTAAATTGTTTTAAAGATATATTAATTACTTGGAAGAATTAAATAAAATGAATTTATATTGCGATTAATTGTTAATCATTATTTTAACTTACTGTACAGAGGAAAAAACATCTTATATTATCACAGCTACAGGTTATTAAATTATAGTAGACACATTGTTATTTTGGCTGCTAATGTTTAGAACAACTATTAGATTACTTTGTGTTTACTTATCAAAATAGCTTTTTGTTCTTTTTAGGTCTAGTAAAACAGAATCGATTTCAACTTTTTTTTTATATAATTCTGTGTAAATATATATTGATTTTTTGTAATTATTATAAACAGAGCCAGAAATTGTCGGAGTCTTTTTTATCAAATTTGTGATTTTTTAATCAAATTTAGTGATATTTGGGGAAATTTTAGAGATGGGATTTCACAAGTATGGAACCACATGGAAAAATTCGTTACAAAATATTCCGTTAGTCTTTCTTCCATTGCTGAGAACATAAAACAGAAGCCTTAAGTTGCTGCAAACTGCAGAGCTCTGCATTGGGAGGAGGGGATTTGTTCAGCTTCAAAATTTCACTAATTTTAGTCTTGCATCAAATATGCTATATGCTGAAGTTCGGCAACTGCTATATACTCAAGTTCAGATGAAATCACGTAACCAAAAAGCACAGAAAATGTTAAATGTGACCTTCCTGTAAATGCAGAAAAATTAATACAAATATTTTCTCATTTTATTTTATTAAATATAAAAATAATTTATCAAAGAATTTTTGTTTATTATGCATAAAAAACTTAAATTTATATCTATTTTTATAGCACATTCAAAAGAAATATTTTCAGTTTTAAATATTAGTTGGAACATACCTCTTAAATTAAAAAAATATTACGTGAATTAAAAACATTCTGACATGGTTGGAAGTGGGAGTGCTGCATAAAATGTTGAAAATTACTGGTGTAGTCATTTCAGTTTGAGTCCAAATGTTCTGTGTTTCAGCTTTTGCTCAGTGAGAAAATTTAAAGAGCAGACATGCATTTTTTTAACTGCATTGTGGTGAATTTTTGAAAATGATTGATCTTTGGATCAAATATTGCAGCATTCATTCTTATATCAAGAAGAATTAAAGTTAAATTTTTGGCTCTGATAAAGCTGTTTTTGTGATTTATGTTATGCAGTTTGATTTATAAAGGTCATTATTCAATAATACATTTAAGTCCAAATCATTTAGGCTTCTTTTCAGAATAGTAACCTTTACATTCTGTATATTGTATATAATTTGCAGAGATTTTCAGACACAGGCTAGAGACTATTTTCTGCGAGTCATTCTAAGATAACAAATATAGCAACTTCTACATGTTTGTGCATGCTAAACTTCCATCCCCAGAATTTTATAGATCTTCAGCAGAGAAGATGGTCTACAGGATGTTTACTAATTTTCTGCAAACCTTTTACAGTTATCATGCCTATGCGGACTAATGTTATTCGGAAAGAGAAGCTCCAATCTCATCTGCAATCATTATAAAACATACTGCAATTTGACTGTTACAGCAAGCAAAGAGATGACAACTCGACATTTGTTTCGTTACATTAACAAGCGTGACGCATGTTATCTAACTATTATAAAATGTCTACAATGTTGCCAGCTTTCAGAACAGTCTTCATAATTGTCATTGCTTCTAGTTGCAATAATGGTTTAACTTTGCCTGTTCATGCAGCCTGCTTATTTGAAAGATTTGCTCTTTGTACATTGTACACAACAATTTGTATAATATATTTAGGGGCACTTTAATATACAAGGTGCCCACTAAAGTCCAGTACCACCCGTTTAACTGCCAAATGGCTGCAGTTATATATTTATAAAATTGGTGTCTAGGTCTAGTACAGTGGCTATGTGCTACTTGATAAGATAGCTTACAGCGCCACCTGGTGAAAAAAGATGAAGTTAGCCTTCTTATCTTGAAAATGATACGAGATAGAAAGAAAAAGTGAATTACAAAGTTGTAGAGAATCATTTATTTAGTACAAATACTCACCTTATGGGTGTTGAATGCTAAAATCAAAACACTGAAAATGCACATTTGTTTCTTTGTGATTTCTGAAACTGTGACGTCATGAAATTTGAACAAAAGGAGGAAAGATTATCTTTCGGATAAAAACTTGCCCGTATTGCGGCACAGTGATGTCACTTGTAATTCACATTCGAGAGGACTGTGGTTCAGACCCTGCAGGGTGCATCCTCGTACTGATTATCTTTACAAATGGAGGAGAAAACATAGAGACCATGCACAATTAGTGTTGCAAAACACATCAACCCAATGCAACTTGAGCTTGGTGTGCGAATTTGTGCATTATGTAAATAGTGTATGAAACGTCACACCTGTTCACCTAAAACAGCTGTAAAAGAGATATCTCCTGGTGGTTGTATGTTTAAGCTCATGGTCATAGAGCAATTTTCAAAAAATGATTATTTCGAGATGGTTCTACTTATGGTGAATGTGAGCACAAGGCACGATCGGCAGTGCAGTTGTATCGGGAACATTTTCCTGCAGGCCTACAGCCTTCGTACAAAACCATCCTATGGGTTGTGAAACGTTTAAGGGAGACAGGTTGCGTGACTAGCCAACTTCGATCCAGCAGACCAGCTACGGTACGGCGGAAAGTACAACCAGAAGATGTCTCATCATACACCTTCACATATCCAAACAGTAGCAGAGATATAAGTGAAAACTGTGGCCTCTCAAAAAGTCACTTTTCGAAAGTCGTAAATGAATTAGGTGCTCATCCATACCATCTAACACCTAATCAGGCATTACTGGATGGGGATGCTGAGAGATGTTTCGCATAGTGCAACCTTGTCATGAACCAGATACAGATCCAATATTCTTGGCTGGTATAGTGTGGATGGATGACTCATGCTTTTCGCGGAATGAAATATACAATAGGCAGAACACCCATTACTGGGCACTGGAAAATCTAGCATGTTCTGCTGACGTTTGACATCAAATACGGTTTTTTATTAATGTTTAGTGTGAAATTTATTGCCTTAATATTTTACCAGGTTACATTAACAGCCACACAATATTTAGAACTTCTGCATAACATAATACCCGATTTTTGTTGAGAACTTGTTGTTACTTCAACTCCTGAATGGATGGTTCCAACATGATCTTGCAAGTAAAGCAGTACCTGATGGAGGAATTTGGAGAACGAATAATTGGGTACAGTGGTTATGAAGAGTGTCCTCTACATTCACCTGATCTGAATCCAATTGACTTTTTCCTGTGTGGATACCTCAAATAGCAGATGTATGCAACTCCTCCACAAACATCACAGGAACTACAATGATGTATTTCAGATGCTTGTGTCAACGTGTCACTCGCTATGCTACAATGTACAACATGAAGTTCTAAAACAGGTCCAGATGTGCATTTCAGCTCATGAAGAGAAGTTTAAAACATCGAAAATAAAGGTAACTTGTGATAACTAGTTCCCCTGCAGGTTGGTTCGTGACGTCGTGGTTTCGGAAATCGCGAACAAACAAATGCTCATTTAAAGCGTTCTCTTTTTAACATTCATGTCTATGAGTCGTCTTTTTGTACTAAATCAACGAAGTTCTACAACTCTGTAATTCACTTTTTCTTCCTATCTCTTATCATTTTCGAGATCTGGGACACTAACTCCGCTGTTTTCCACCAGGTGGCACTGAAAGCTATCTCATCTAGTAGCGCATAGCTGCAGCCATTCGTGTTAAAAGGGCGATACCGGACTTTAGTGGGCACCCTGTGTATGGTACAAATTAATGACAAAGTATTATTATACTTTAATATATAATGCTTTAAAATATATTTGGGTGCAATATTTTTAGAGACCTTTAGTATAAAATAAAACCAGGTGTACAGATACACATATATAATACAAAGTCCGAGATCAGGACTTCAAAGATTCTGGATTTAAATCAAGTGAGATAACATGTAGATATGGCAACACTGGAGCTTTACTTATTGTGTAGGTCAGACTAATGCTAATCCACACAAACATTCAGGGGCCAAAAGTGTGATCATAGCCAACATCAATATGTCTTCACAGTATGATTCCCTAACCAGCAGGTATTTGAAAGTTACATCTTGGGAGAAAAATCACATTTATAGCATACTTGCTTTTTTTCCCCCTTGAGTATTTTATTCTCTATTCCTAGACTTTATAGAGGGATTTTTATTTATTTAGTTAGTTTAATTTGTTTGCTTATATATATAAGCAAATAAGTGTATAGTTTGTGTACACACACATGTATATATTTATTTAGTTTTGTTTATTTGATTATATATATATATGCAAATAAACAAAACTAAATAATTATATACATGTGTGTGTGTACACAAAATATATACATGTGTGTATATATATACACATATATATAAATGTGTGTACTTTATATAAATATATCTATAAAATGTGTATTTATATATATATATATATATAAATGGTGTATATATATCTATATATATATATATAAAATTATTTATATATAATCTATAATAATATATAAATACACAAAATATATACATGTATGTACATACAAAATAGATACATGTGTGTATATATATATACACACACACACACATATATATATATATATATATATATTCTGTAAATGGTGCAAAGAATTAATTAAATTTGTATTTAAATTCAATTTATTCTTTAGAAACTATAAATGATATTGTAGATTAGTTCGAAAATTAAATCTTTTATATGTGTGCATTTTTTTAATTATTTTAACTTTAAATTTGCTTTTTACGTATATACATGTTTGTTAAAATTTATATATTCTGTAACTCTTTTTTTTACTCTGGAACTGCAGTATCAAATATACTTTAAAGCATTAGCTATTTTGAACTTTCCTCTTGTGTGCAAATATATATATATGGGGGCATATTCTTCGACTTCCTCTACTTCTACTTCTACCCAGCAAGATAGGACGTTATCACAGCTTAGCACAGTGTGGAGCAATCGAGACAACGCCCAGATAGCTTCCAGACGAGGAAAGGAACAGAGGCAAGCAAACGGCTTGCAGATCCTCCAAGAGTTGGTGGAAACAGACGGTTTCCTTCGATGCTCAAGTTCCTTGTAACTAAGCTAATCATTATTGAATGTAGTTAATCATGGATCGATGAAAATAGACGTATTCTCTTAAGGCATGAGCCTACATGCCTATAGAACTCTTAGAGACTGATAATGTGTGAGAATGTTCATTACATGAATCGAATCCTGTTTGGACTGAAACTTTAGAGGGGTGAGTTGCTGGTAACCTCACTAACTCTTCAGTTAGTGAGGTTACCAACTGTACTGTTCACTTTCACCTTAACTCACCTTTTCTTTCATTTTATTTCATATCAGTAAAATAAAGTAGTTTAGTTATGTTTAAGTCGTGCTCTACTTTATTCTTATTGAGAGCAATCTTACAAAAATATGGTGCACAACAGTGGCGCAAACTCAAAAGTATGCAAATCCAAAATTAGTGTTCCAAGTTGAACTGTTTTTTGCTTAACTGTGTATTGCCATACTGTGAATTTAATGGACTGTTCTCACAAGTTGTTGGATTATTCTTACAAAGTGTTTGGATTACCAATTGAAGACGATCGTCTGTCGGGTACCTCATGACGATGGTGATGTCCACTCGGCAATGTCCTGCAGGATAGCAGAGAATGTGGAGGCATATTCTTTGACTTCCTCTACTTCTACTTCTACCCAGCAAAGCATGACACTATTGCAGCTTAGCACAGTGTGGAGCAATCGAGACCATGCCCAGATAGCTTCCAGACGAGGAAAGGAACGGAGGCAAGCAAACGACTTGCGAATCCTCCAAGAGTTAGTGGAAACAGACGGTTTCCTTCGATGCTCAAGTTCCTTGTAGCCAAGCTAATCATTATTGAATGTAATTAGCCATGGATGGATGAGAATAGACGTATTCTCTCAAGGCATGAGCCTACTTGCCTATAGAACTGTTAGAGACTGATAATGTGTGAGAATGTTCATTACATGAACCGAATCCTGTTATGACTGAAAATTTAATTGTGAGGTTACCAGCTATACTGTTCACTTTCACCTTAATTCATCTTTTCTTCCATTTTATTTCATATTAATAAAATAAAGTAGTTTAGTTGTATTCAAGTCGTGCTCTACTGTGTTCTTATTGAGGGTAATCTTATATATATATATACACACACATGTATATATATACAAGATCCAGCTATTAATTTTCAGGACTCATGAAATAACTCAGAAGAAAAAAAGTTTAAACACATAGCCATTTAATATGATTCAAAGTAATCCCCATCAGCCATAATTGCACGTCTGTGCTCGGCTGTACAAATTTCAGAAAGAAGTTTTAAAGTCCTCTTTTGGAATACCCTTTAATAGTGACGTTACAGTTTTCTTGATGGCTTCAACATCCTGAAATCTTGTTCCCTTCAGCGAATTTTTCAGCTTAGAAAACAGGAAAAAGTCTGCAAGTGCTAGATCTGAAGAGTATGGTGGATGCTGCATTTCAATGCCACCATGCTGGGCTAGAATCGCCTCACAGGCAACGAAGTGTGTGGGCGGGCATTGTCATGTAGCAGCAGCCATCTCCCATTTTGTTGAAAATGAGGCCTCACTCTACAAATTCGTTTTCGAAGTCGGTCAAGAACTTCTGTGTAGAACTGTCCATTGATAGTCATGTTAGGAGGAAGAAATTCATGATGAATGAGTCCATCACAATCGAAGGAAGCGATTAACATGACCTTGGTTTGGGAATTTTTAAATCGAAATTTTTTCTGCATTGGTGAATTTGGAAACCGCCATTTGGAGCTTTGACGCTTGGTTTCAGGGTCATATTGATAACACGAAGACTCGTCTCCCATGACTATCTTATCCAGGAACGCAGGGTCATCATCAGTGTTGTCGATAAGTTCGCCACATGCGTCCAGTCTCAATTGCTTTTGTTCATCAGTTGCTTTTGTTCAGTCACATTTGCTTTTGTTGCAATGGTGAGGAACCGAATCTGGAACAAATCTTGCATTTGCTTAGGTCTTGCGCCAAAATTCGCCGAACCGTCTCTTTGTCCATGTTGAATTCATTGGCCGAGTACTCGAATAGTCAATCGACGATCACATTTCACCATATCGCGAACTTTTTCAATTGCTTCCGGCGTGCATACAGACTGCGGCTGACCTGTGTGTGGATCATCTTCGATGCTTTCGCGCCCATCCCGAAAGCGTTTAAACCATTCAAAAGTTCTTGAGTGGGATAATGCTTCCTCGCCGTAAACTTGTTTTAACATTTCATAGGTTTCCGCAGCTGTCTTGCCCAATTTGAAGCAAAATTTAATGTTAATGCTTTGCTCCATTTCCACTTCGACAATAGGAATTTAAGAGCTACATTTTAATGCACCTTTCCATGAGAACCACTTACTTTAGAATGGTGCCGATTGCACTGCACATACGCAAGAAAATGCTCTTCAATATGCAATCATTAGCGCCATCTTCCGACTTTTCGTTCTCCTACAGTTATGTCAGTCCTGGAAATTAATAGTCGGACCTTGTATATATATATATATATATACACACACATGTATATATTTGTGCCGATGATCCAAGTATTAGATCATTCCGGGAATTGAACTTCTGGATTTGGGACTTTGTAATGCATAGGTAATATCATTTTTAATATCAGAGTAGATGCATGATATGAAAGTTGATTCATGAAGAAATCTATATTTGCAATCATAGCCTGCTGAAAGAAGTCTTTTTCTTTTGACCCCACACGTTTTGAAACAGACAAGGATAAAATTATGCAAAATGTATGCCTGTTCTTTAATGAATTTTCACATTTCTCAAGTAAGCAAGAGAAATGATAACAGAGTGGTAAGGCAGAAACCGAATGCAACATATCTGAGGATCCGAATAATTTAGCTCTGGTTCAGCTTTATCCCTATTGATTGCTAAAAGTTTCAATATTAAAATTTTAAATTATTAATAGCTGAAAAACCGAATGCAACATATCTGAGGATCTGAATAATTTAGCTCTGGTTCAGCTTTATCCCTATTGATTGCTAAAAGTTTCAATACTAAAATTTTAAATTATTAATAGCTGAAACATTATATAAGCATTTGCATCATTGCTGTTATGTGAAAAGGATTAATTTTGAAATGATGCAGTGTAGAAAATTTAATGTAAGCAGTTGTTATTTTTAGGACAGAAAGGGGAAAATAACCAAATTAAAATAGAGAGTTAAGATACTACTGCAAATTAATTTTGATCTTTGTATTTTTATCTTACACAAATGTATAATGCAGACATATACACACATTTCTTTCCCTGCCCCTTTTTTAAGGCCCACCAGCGGCCGAGTGGTAAAGTCGCTGAACACTGATAGTTCGGTCTGAGGTTCGAATCCCGCGAATGGGCTGGCTTAATGGGTGTTTTTGTGGTTTTCCCTCATGTGTAACGTGTATACGAGCCAGTTTCCTTTAGAAAGTCCTCCACGAAGGGATCCTTCCCCTTAGGCAGATAGCCCTAGTATGATTTGTCAAAATTAAATAAACCAAACCAAACCCTTTTTTAAAATTTTCAAGTGTGGAAATTTTTAAGAAAACTTGATTTGATATTTTTACCTTTTTTGCTTTAAATTTTACAAATATGTTCATTATATTTTTAATTATTTTTTTACTCTGTTGTAAATCTTTACTGAAATTACTTTTTCTTAAAAGTGTATTAAAATTTATAGCTGCAGCATTTGTTTGTTTGAAATTTTCTTTTCAGGCATAATGAACTCTTGGAGAAAAATGGCTTTTATGCTACTATGTGGCAACAACAATTAGAACCAGAAAATGACAAGAGTTGAGGGAAATATAAATAAAGAAAGAATATGTTGTGTATATGTTATAGAGATAAAAATATGCAGATATTTATATAGTTCTATGTATATTCTTATGTTAATAAATTTTTTTAATTAAGTGGTTGAAATTTCAGATGAAAATGCATAGTTTGAGTACAATCTTATGTATTAGTTTAATTCACTCATTTGTATATGTTTCAGTTAATTGGAGCATTTTGTTTTCACTTCACTACGATTAGTAACAATAGTAAAAAACAGAAAATTATATATGCAGGATAAAAAAATTCACAGTAATTTTAATAATTAGTATCTCTCAAATTACAGGTACTATAGACCAAAAAGATAATTGTTTTCACTGAACAAATATTTACATGTTTCTATAAAATCTGAACTTTTCTCACCAGGAATACTGAACACATTTTTATCATACCATCAAACACAAGAGTAGAAGGCACCAGCGTGATTCTATTTTTCATACTGAAACTGGTAGAGAGAAATATGAAATTATAAATGTGAGATCATTCTTTACAGTCTGAGTAATTCCTGAACAGTTTTAATGGAAGAAAGATCTCTTCAATAAAAAATATCTGTGACATTAATTTTGTCAAAATGCTCAGCGTAATAACAGACTGTATTTAACCATATTCCCCACCTCATCAAAACTTAATTTGGAGGCAGCAGTATAACAGTTACAATCTCTCTGGAGACTCTCACTGTAGCAGCAGTTTAAGAAAGATCTTTTAGGTAGAAAAGAGATCTTGTATCTCCAGAACAATTTGAAAAAATGAAATGGCAAATGCAGACAATGCCTGCAAAAAATAGCAGTTATTTATGATTTTTTACAAAAATGTCACTTATATGGTATTGAAGGCCCATGACAATGATAGAGGCAATCTCTCATGGGCTCAAGGCCCATGATAATGATAGATGTAAGTGTGGCATTTTGTCACTGTTTCCTGACTATAATATAAAGAACAGGAATTGCCAAAACCCAGTTTGTCAAAAGAAAGTTAAATAGTAATGTAAAACGCAACTATTTTGTATCAAATAAATTTGTTTGTCAATAAAATTTTAAAAAAAATCTTCACTAGCAATCCATTGGCCATGCTATACATATAAGTACCTAAACATTAATATGGAGGGATTCATATTACAGAACAATTTGAAAAAATGGTTCGGAAGGCAGACTTCGAGCTGATTGGTCATGTCTGTGTTAGCTCCTGTGCGACCAGTTTTTCGATCGTTGTTTGTGTGGCTGTGGCCATTTAGTTTTTTCATACATATTTGACCATGTGCTACGCTGGATTACGGAATTTTGTTGTTATGTGAATTTAACATGATTTTGTGATTTTTATGTGTTGGTTCTTCAAGCATATTTCCCCACGTATTTCAACTCCTCTGGTTTCAACTGTATCGGAATATGGATTTTGAATTAACGGATGATATTACTGCTTATAGAAATTTGACTCTTGGTGATAACTGGACGGAACTGATTAATAAAAAAGTGAATTTGGATTAAATGATTATGGACAATTGTCCAAGAGGATTACCTGTGATATTAATTTGTGAAGACAAAGAATGTGCTACGACTCTAAAAATGATAGACCATGAAGAAACTAGAAACAGGATTGAGGCAAAGTTCCAGACTACTAGAGGGATTGCAGAAGGTTTGTTTGGAATATTAAAAGGTAAGTGCGAATATTATGGCAATTCGAATCCAAATAGTGTTAATATTTTCATTAATGATGTTCTACTAAAACGTATTGAAAATGATGCGAAAAATGCTAATTGAAATGCTCTAAATAATTCTAAAAGTGGTGATTTATCTGATATTAATGAGAAATCTAAATCAAAGGCTAAACGTGGTTCTAAAAAAGTGTATAAACGTTAAATTAATGATACAAGGGATGAGGATGGATTTATCCTACCAAGGAACCTCTCATACCCAGCTAAGATTGTTGAAAGAAATGCTTATCTGCCACTGGCCAATAAATTTAAAAAATTCTCATGTAATAATACTAGTAATACTGACGATGATGTACCAGGGTTCGTAGCAGTCCTTATAAGTGCTTATAATTCCTTATATTTGAAAATAAAATATAAAGGCCCTTATAGGTGCTTACTTTTTCTTTAAAGCCCTTATTTTTTATTTTTATTTTATTTTTTATTTATTTATTTTTTGTTGTTTTTGTTTTTTGTTTTTAGTGCTTATTTGTTGCTTTTAGTGCTTTTTTTTTAATGAACACTCTATTTTTCCCCGTACCAAAGCCGAAACTAAATAAACAACTTTTTTTTCTAATAAATGGAATGTCAGATGGTGAATCATACTCCCGGAAATAGCTTTTCCCCCTTTCTCTGCATTAACATAACCTTTA